TATATATTAAGTGCTGTTATTTACTAAAGGGACAATCCTTTTCTCCCCTCCGGGTGTTTCCTTCTCTTCCTTAGGTCCTTGACCTTCTCCCTAGTTTGCATTTCTGAAGCCAGCTGCTCCGGTATCCTCCCACTCCTGGTCCTGGGCGCAAAGGAGAAACAGCTTGCACACAGGCATTTTTTTTTCTGTATTGTTTACGGTATCACCTTAAACCAATATACCACAGTGCATTTTAATCCAAGAGCTAAGGGCCCTTTAAACCAGCCATTCCTTATTTATTCTGTCCGTAAAAAAATCAAGACCCTTTGGTTTCATGTTCCTTTATTGTATTTTGTGAGGCACTGAGCACATATTGGATACTATGTAAACGTGTAACAGTCTAACAATAGTAACTGAGACACACGAGAAACTGAAGGAAGCAAAGTCACCATTTTGAATTTAGCCTTTTATTGATGGGCTGAGTGATTTGGGAGAGACAATGTGGCTCCAAGGCTAAAGAGCCCACAGGGATTCAGAGGGCAAAGGTTTGAATCTCAGTCACAGCAGCAGCTCCAGTGACCCCAGGCAGGGAGCTTTCTTTCTCTCCACCCTAAGTTCTCTCCAAGAATACTGGGCTTAATGCCACAAAACCAGCTCCCAGGATTGTTAAGCCAGAGATGCTGTATGTGGTTGTGCAGACTACACATACCACAAGGGTGCCAGCTGAGAAAGCAAGTGGGGGCTGAAATGTATACTGCAGGTTCATCAATTTGTACACCCTGGTGATGGGCTATGTGCACCTGTAGGAAGGGGCACCTTTTTTTTTTTTTTTTCTAATTTTCACAAAGTTACTATATGGGCTAGAGAGGCCCTGTACGAAGCAATGTGACATTGATAGGGCACAGAGCTTAACATGTAGAATGGATAAAATTGCTCAACACGCGGTTATTGAACACCTGCTACGAACCAGGCCCATTCTAAAGGTTGAGGATATGGAGATGAATATGAGCAATCTCTCTGGTCCCTGGGTCCTCGCTTCTCTTCACCAGCCCATTGTCCCCTACATTCAATCCATCGGCAAATCCTGTTGACTCAGTCTGCAAAATAGCTGTCCAATCCACCCATTTCGTTTGACTGCCAGCATTTCATTTCATGATTTCTCACCTAGACTATAGCAACAAGTGGGCTCCCACTTCTATTGTGGGCCTCCAAACAAAACAAGAGTGATTGTATCAAAACATGAATCCGCTAACATCATCCCCTTGTGTGAACCTTTTTGTGTTTATAATTTAACCCAGGGTCCTCACTGTGGCCTCAAGGCTATGCATACCTGGTTCCAAAGACCTCATCTTGTAGTCTGGATCACTCAACCCACAATTAGTCAGGGTTCTCCAGAGAATTAGGAACCAATAGGATATCCATCTATCTAACTATCATCTGTATCTGTATTTCCTATTTATGGAAATATGTGTATGTAAACAGGAGATATAGATCTCCTACTAATGTTTTTTATGTATATGTACACTTATACGTATATATAGAAGAGATTTATGTATTTTTTATATTGTGAGGACTTGGTTCCTGTGATTGTAGAGACTGAGAAGTCTCACAATCTGCCCTCTGCAAGCTGGAGACCCAGGAAAGCGGCTGGTGTAATTCTAGTCTGAGTCCAAAGGCCTGAGAACCAGGGGAGCTAATGGTGTGAATCCCAGTCCAAGGGCAGGTGAAGACCAACTGACCAAGGCCTCAGTTCAACGGACAGGCAAGGAGGGAATGAATCCTCCCTTCCCCAGATTTTTGTTTTATTCAGGGATTTAGTAGATGGGATGATGCCTGACCACACTGAAGAAGGGAATAATCTACTGAGTCCAACAAATGCTAATCTCACCAGAAACATCCTTGAAGACACAACCGGAAATAATGTTTAATCTAGGTACCCTGTGGTCCAGTCAAGTTGACAAATACAATTAATCATTACACCATCCCAGTAAAACTGACCATTCTGTCCTTCAAACAGCCTACCTCTCTTGTGTATAGCCTGATTCCTTTGGTTGGAACACTTTTCCCCTTGACCATCTCTTTCTAACCCTTTGGTGCCCAGTAGAAAGATCGTCTCCTCAGAGAGGCGTCCCTGGACCACCTTGTTAAAGTAGTGTAGTATTCTCTGTCCACTACCATTCATTGCCAGGATGTTTTGTCACAAAGCAGCCCAGCTCAATTTGTAAATGTAGAGGTCTTTGTTTATTTTCTGTCTAATCTGCTAGATTGCAAGCTCCTTCACAGTAGGGACCAGGCTTTTTTTGTTCTCCACTGTATACCCATCCCTTCAGCATCTTGCTAGTTTCTGGTGCATAGTAATAAATAACAATCAAAATTTGCTAAGTGAAGCTGTTGCAAGGGATTCATGTAATAGGGGAGTAATCACCACAATACAATGTAGAGATGCATGAGATGATAAAGGCAGTGATGTGCTGGCAAACTGGCTCTCCAAAAAGGAAAACAAAACAAAACAAAACCCAAAGGCCCTCATTTGTCATTTGCTTATTTCCATGGTGGTGTAAATACTCCCATCACTGCTGATTTCTAGCTTCCAATGCTTTAGAAACTGACTTGGAAAATTCCCGAATATTTAACAGTTGGCTCTTCAAACCTGGTGTGATCTGGGTCTAGTGTTTCACTGGAAGAGAGGTTGGCATGGATGCAATGAATACCCAGGAAAGAGGCAGTATTTCATCTTGGCGGAACTCGGCAAACACTTCCTGGAAGAGGTGACACGTGATCTGTGTTTTGAAGGATGGGTGTTGGCTCAGGCCCTGTGCCTCTAAATTGGCTAACGTAGCCCTGCTCCCAGTAGCCCACATTCAACTGTTCCTGGCTCCCCAGGAACTCTGTTTGCCTAAGAGTTATCAGCTGACTCCGTTCAATCCTCAGAAAATCCTTCCATGTGGCTGGTGTTCTGTTGGGTTTGCTGTTAGTCCAACAGAGAAGAATTAGGGTAGAAGTTAGCACAGGGAGAAGGGAAAGGGTTTTCCAAACAGAGGGACAGCTTTTGCAAAGGTGAGCGAGCAAGTGTGATCAGGCAGTCTGGTAAATCTAGATGTATGTGGGAGGGAATGGAAGGAGATTAGCTCCTGACAGGTTTTGTTTGATAGGCTGAGGATTCCCACCCTGGGCTGGAGCAGGTGTCAGAAAGAAAGGGAAAAGGACTGATTGTTTTTCCTGTACAATTCTTATCGTAGCTGGTAATTGTGTTTTTTGTTGTTATTATTGTTGGTTTTGTTTTTGGTATGTAATCATTTGATTAAAATCTGTCTCTTCCAAGAGAATGTAAACTCCACAAGGGCAGGGACTGTCTTGTTTACTAGTATTTTCTCAGTACCCAGAACAATGCCTGGTGTAGTCAATAAAAAACACCCTTGTTAAGTGATTCAATCACCTGGGGAACCTTTGAAGTTTGCCTATGCGCATCTACCGTAAAATAAGATCTGTTATACGTCTCCTTTCTTTGAACCTCCCAACCACAATACAGGATAGGGAGGGCGGGGAGTAGTGTGGCTGGCATTCTCATTTTATAAAAGCTACGGAAGGGATTCACCTCCCTACCTCTTCCCAAATTCAATCAAGTGGATCCTCTAGGGGATATTACCAAAAGTGTGACATGATTAAATTTGCCATTTGCATAACTGGGCCAGATAGCAGTAGGGAGGACTAGAGGTGCTGAGGTGCTGAGACCAGTAAGGAAGCCAATGCAAGAAATCATGCAGGTCTGAGTTAAATCCCTGGCAGTGGTCGTGAGGAGAGAGCCGAGTCAAGAGATACTTGGGAGATAGACTCTACAAAATTTGGTGACTGTGTGGGCATGGGTGGAAGAGGAAGCAAGAGAAGGAGAAATGTAGGCTGGAAGTTGGAGTGAATATTAGTCAATAGGGGATGGGTGGTTTGCTTTACAAATTGCTACATTTGAGATGCCTGTGGGACGTGGATGAAAAGGGGTTGTTCATGACGTTGGGAAGCTCAGGTTTCTCGGCCCGCACCTTTCACTTCATTGCCAGGAACTCTGGAGAACACAACTAATAGTTAAGAGATGGGTTAGAAAAAGAATTCTTGAAGGAGACTGAGAAGGATGGCGTGAGAGGAAGAAAGAAAATCCAGAGAGTGACATAGAAAATAAATGATAAAGAATGTCCAACAGCCTCAAATGGCGTCTAAAGGTTAAGTTAGAAGACCTGGAAATTCCTCACGTGAGTTTGGCAATTAAGATAACGATGGCCACATTGCCATTTTCTTCGGGAGCAGAACCTGCAGGGCAGAGCACGAAGGAGGAAGTGGAGACGATGGATTATATTGCCTTTTTCAAAAAAACTTGGCCGTTAACGGAAAAGGCGGGATGGTGTAAGAGCGGGACGGGAGGACGTCTGAGCACGTTTATAGCTAAAGCGAAGCCCAGAGGGTTGAGCAGACGGAAGCGCAAACCCCTTCTCCCCTTGGCAGCTCTGCCAGCCCTCCCCCCACGTGACCGGGAGGCAGCCTGCGCAGCCCCGGCCTGGAGGGACTACAGCCCCCAGAAGGCCCCGCGGCGCGGGTGGGGGGAGGAGTCGAGGCCTGGCGCGCGCCCCAGCGGCGCGAGCGGAAGAGCAAGAGCTTCGAGGAGGTGGCGGAAGCGGAGAGCGACGGCACGCCCGGTAACGAGTAGCCCCACGTCCCTGTCCTTTCCTGCCTCTACACCCTTAGCTGGGGCTGGTCGCTCCACTTCTCCCCACACACTTTGGACAAGACTTCCTTTCTCTTTTTGTTAGTTACCGGTATTTTTTTTCCCCTCACGTGACTCACGGGGCGGGTCTCCGTCTGGGGCGGAGGTTACTGGGAAGCTGCCGCCCTTCGACCCCTGCGGGCCCTGGGTTGCAGGGATCCTCCCGAGGCCCTTTTGCTGTCCTAGAGGCTGAGCGCCCGCTTTGGGGCCTCTTCCCAAATACTCTCTGCGGAGAGGACATTCCTTTCCCGGGTTTCAACAGGTACTGAGCGGGTCCGTGGCGATCCCCCCAGGGGTCAACGGGGCTGTGGGCCTCAGAGGCCGCCCCGAGAAGACCCCGGGGCTGCTGGCGATTTCCGGGCTGCGAGCATTTTGAGGGAGTCCGCTCGGCTGTCCAGGAGCCCCGGGCTATGGGCATGAGCTGGGAGTGAGCTGTTTGAACGGGAGGATGTACTTCCTGGTTTGTTGGGCGGCCCTCGGAAACCCCCAAGTCCGATTATTAAAAGTTTTTTTTACTCAGTAAAGCCGCCTCTCAGAGTTGAGAAAGGAAAAAAGCACAGGGTTTGGAGACTAATGTCCTGAGACGAGTCTCAGGTCTGTCACTTGCTGGAGTTGTGATCTTTTGTAACCCGTTTTCCGCAGCCTCGGTTTCTAGATCTGAAAAATGGGGCTACTAGTCTTTGGCCTGCCTGCCTTCCAGTGTTGTGGGCGTCAGCGGATAATAATGTGATACGTGGGAGAAAGCATGTATCAAATATAACTTTATCCTCCTGTCTCCAGTCTAGGTCAGTTGAATTTTAAAACCACGCTCATGTCTTTGAAACTCGATTATAAACATGACCATGCTCTTTGTGAAAAGCAAATGATTTAATAAATAAGGGGAAGTGACTTTGGAAACGAATACAAGCCGTGCAAACGTTAAGCCATGTACCTCTTGAAGAGGTGACTTGAAGGCCCTGTCACCTGTAGAGTCCGTTTTAAACTTCATCTGCAAATGAAGGTCTCCCAGAGTTAGGACACTTCCCTACCCGCAACGCACTCGCCTGTCAACCCATTTTGCTCAGTTATAACCTTCCTTCACCACAAAAGTACAAGGATCTCAGCACTTTCTGTTCATCAGTTGTGCTAAACTGATGATGCCTGTCTCCAGCAGGTCTTGTATTTTTTTTACCCCCTTTAAGATACTTCTGGTGCTAAGTCTAGCTCTAATTCTAACACAGTTCCACTGACCTTGTGTGCACAGTAGCTGAAATACTGGGGTCATCTTCATCTGTCCTAGGTATGTATGCTAGAAGTCTGTTTCCTCATAGTTAGAATTCAGAATATAAATAGCCCATATTCCAGTGTTCTGGCAGTTAAGATCTGAGACTCTAAGCAGGTAGCTTTTTTGTCTTATTTTTCCCCTTGTAGAGAATGGGATTTTACAATCAACATAAGGGTTTGGAGGTGTAGTAATAAGGTAATCCTAACTTGTACTTATACTGATATCATCGGTTGGAAAATGCTTAAATGTGGTTCAAAAAAACAGGATGGCGGTACAGTGAATTAGTCCAATGTACCAAGTTGAACACATTGCGTTCAAATCCTGGTGTTGTGACTTACTTTATGACTTTTGGCAAATTAGTTGACCCCCCTGAGCCTGATTACTCGTTTCTAGGATAGATACAATAACATTTATCTTGCAAGGTGTTCGTAAGGATTAAATGAGATGTTAATATAAGAAACTTAGTAGTGCATAGAGTAAGTGCTCATTGCTTTACTTTTGTAATTGTTGACTATGATGATCAAAAAATGATAATTTAGATAATGTATTTTCTTGAGATTCTTTTTTTTCCCCAAAATACTGTAAATAGAAGTTCTCATTCTGCAGTGTGTTTCTTAGCAATTGTATTTTATATAAAGATTATATTAGGCTATTTTTCACTTTTAGAGGTTTCTAAAATGCTACTGTGAAAAGATTGTTGTTTGGGATGTGCTTTGGTGCTTCATTTGTAACCTGCAGTAAGGATGCTGTTTTCTGTCTGCACATTGTAGCTTGTAGTAGAACAATTATCTGTGTTTATGACTTAGTTATTGACTATTGACTAGGACATAGTTTTATAGAGCCATTTTTTGGTCCTTCCCCTCATTCCTGCCTTTTTTTTTTTTTAAGTCAGACTGTTTGACTCCAAAAGTTAGTTAGCTTAGTGGGTAGGTTCCAGAGAGCTTGGTGACCTCATTTTTTATTAAGGTAAAACTCTTAGTGACATTGGTGGACACATTTGCAAGGAGTGAGAGTTGAGAGAAACCAAGAAGGATAGTCTAATAGAGAAAATTGATCTGTTGGTCAAAGCAAAATCTTAGGGTTAAGAATTGAAAATATTCATTTTTATTTCCTACAAATGAGTTTTGACTACAAGATACCTGCAGACTCAGATTTTTAGGAAATGTTTCCTTTACTCTGTTTTAATGTGGTATCCTCTGGCTCTGCCCTGGTAATTTCATTCTTCCAGTTATGAATCTGCAAGGTAACTATTTTTTCACTATAGACTTATACAAAGCTATGACAATAGTCATTTCCATTAAAAATTACTTTGTATGCTATAATGTATTATTTTTTCCTTTGTCTTAAATGCTTGTGTTCTTAAAGAACAAGAATCTTTGCTGTTTTGCTTAAAGAAGTTTTGGAAAGTAAACTCATTCTCAGCTTTAGCATCTAAGTGTACTTAGTGGATATGCTCAGTAATGTCTGTGCTGAATAGTTCTGAGTAAGAACATTTTGTTGATTGTCGTATGTCCCTAAGGCATGCTGTTGAGAAACTATATAGTATTGTGGAAATAACCTAAGCTTTGGAGTCAAATCAAAGTTTGAATTCAGGCTCCACCACTTAATAGGTTACGACTTTGGTTCATATTATCATTCTGAGTTCATTTTCTGATCATCTGTAAAACAGGGATAATAATAACCAATCTTGCATGACTGAAAAGATTAGAGATTTTTTGAACTAGGCACGTACTAACCAGGCTTAGCAAAAGGTAGATTATGTTAGCATTACTTTAAAAAAATTTTATTATTATATTTTTATGATAATCATTGATTTTGGTCAAACATTTATAATTCATTCCTCTAATACTTCACATGATCAGTGTGTTTTGTTTTGTTTTGTTTCTGTTAGCCAAGGTTAAGGTTGTTGACTGTAACCATCAACCCATGAAACACAGCAAAGCTAATTGGCCAAGATTTTCCAATCTGTGACCCTGTCCTCATTAGCTCTGTAGACTAACCATTCACAAAATAGCTCACCAGAATGAATGATAAAACTGGTATATTGTCGATTCAGTACTTATGGACTCATTAGACATAATAGAATTAAGTGAACTAGTGCTAGAATAAAAGTATAGATTTTTAATGATAAACCTGTATAAATATAAGATGAGCCCTCACACTCTGTATAAAATTGGGGACCTACAGGGTGATCTTTGACAATCATTAACCTGAGTTATAATTTAGACATTTCTTCTTTGTTGAACTGTATTTGTTGCAGACTTCCCACTTATAGAAGTGGAAAGAAATGGAACTAGGCTATTGGTAGCTTGAACCCTACTTCTATGCCACCCATCAGAAAATGTGCTCTTAGCTAGTGGAGAAAACATTTAGAGTTCCTTGTTGATGAGCCCAGCAGGATGGATGAAGTCTGGGTAAGTCATAAGAGTTTATTGAATTACGGAAAGATTCCGGTTGACAGAGCTTTAGATAGAAGAGAAGTTATAGGGTGTTGCTCAGCAAGCTGTAAGCCTGCATTTGAAGAGGGTTTTCTACTCTCTCAATAAAACATAGACCAGTTGCTTCCAGTCTGTGGTGTGCATTTTTCACTTGTCTCATGCTAGCTTTCTATATAGCTTTCCATTCTTCAGATTCACTCTTCAGTTTTATTAACATTTGTTGTCCCTCTTATATCTTTTTTTTTTTTTTAATGTCAAACATGGTTGTTTCCAGACTAGGGATAAAAATAGAGAAGCACTGTTGGAAACAGCAGGTCTGGTGTCTAGTATTGTGAGATTCCCAAATAACACTGTTAACCTGTTAATATAACGGTATAGATTTCTGACAGCTCCTGACCATTTTACTTGGTACAGAGGCAAAAACAGAGGCAAAAGGTATGTGGCACTCCTTAATAGGAGATTTGCTTCTTAGGAAAGAATACATGTAGTGTTAATACTGGCTTGCAGTTGGGCTGTTTCAAGTTTTTTTTTTTTTTTTTTTTTTTTTTTTTGCCATGGAATACCAGAAGAGTATTAAAGAAGAAAAGCACTTGGATATAAATCCTAAACTCTCAAATTTATATCGGTAGTCCAGTATGTGTTTTCTTATCATCTATACAATAGGGATAATAATACCATTCCTGCTAGTTTATCAAGATTAGAGGGAAAAGGTAACAGAAATGTCTTGGAAATGGTGTAGGTAGCTGTGGGGAAGAAACTGACCAAAAGGCAGAGTCCATGAGAGTAACACAAACACCTAACCACGCACACACACACAGACATACGCACTGGAGGGAAATAGAAGGAAGAACACACACAATAGGCAGAGAATGAGGGTCATCTAGAGACGGGAAGTCAGAAACACTGAGAGAGACAGTCTGAGGCAGAGTTAGAAAGAACAGTAATCAGAGATGTAGAGAGAAGGGCCACCTTAGAAATGATAGATGCAGAGAGGGAGACAGAATGCCGGAGGGATCTGGGAGGGCATGACCAGGAGATGGAGAGCTTATTGAGGTAGTTGTTTTCTGTTACCTGAGGAGACCTTCTAAATATTTGTAATTAGCAAGGAAAGGGAAGAAAAGTAGATATTAATAGCAAACAAGTAACATGTTTATGCAGTTTTTATTCTACTGAAAATTCTCCTTAAATTCTAAATTTATTTTGTATATTTGGCATGCTGACACCAGAATAGCTTCTGTTACAGATCTATTAACCTCTTGCTTGACTCTCTTCATAGTGTATTTTAAACACATTTTTAAAAAATTAAATAAAACTATTGTTTTCTTTTGGAGTGCCTGGGTGGCTCAGTCAGTTAAGCATCCAACTCTTGGGGCATCTGGGTGGCTCAGTCGGTTAAGCGGCCGACTTCGGCTCAGGTCATGATCTCGCGGTCCGTGAGTTCGAGCCCCGCGTCGGGCTCTGTGCTGACAGCTCAGAGCCTGGAGCTCGTTTCAAATTCTGTGTCTCCCTCTCTCTCTGACCCTCCCCCGTTCATGCTCTGTCTCTCCCTGTCTCAAAAATAAATAAATGTTAAAAAAAATTAAAAAAAAAAAAAAAAGCATCCAACTCTTGATTTTGGCCCAGGTCATAATCTCATGGTTTGTGATATCAAGCCCCACATTGGGGTCCATGTGCTTTCAGCACAGAGCCTGCTTGGGATTCTCTCTCTCCATCCCTCCCCTGCTCATGCTGCTCTTTCTCTCTCTCTCTCAAAATAAATAAAAAACATTTTTTTCTGAGGCACCTGGGTGGCTCAGTCTGTTAAGCGTCTGACTTGGGCTGAGGTTATGATCTCAGGGTTCCTGAGTTCAAACCCCACGTCGGGCTCTGTGCTGACAGCTCAGAGCCTGGAGCCTGCTTCAGATTCTGTGTCACCCTCTGTCCCTGCTCCTCCCCTGCTCAGGCTGTGTCTCCCAGCAAAATAAACATTAAAAAAAATTAAAAATTTTTTAAATGTTTTTTTTAATTAAAAAAATTTTTTTTAATGTTTATTTTTGAGAGAGAGAGAAAGAGACCGAGTGCAAAGCAGGTGAGGGGCAGAGAGAGAGAGGGAGACTTAGAATCCGAAGCAGCCTCTAGGCTCTGAGCTGTCAGCACAGAGCTGGTCTGGGGACTGGAACTTGCGAACCGAGAGATCATGACCAGAGCCCAAGTCGGATGCTTAACTGACTGAGCCACCCAGGTGCCCCCCCACCCCCAATTTTTTTTCTTACAAATCTGGTACATGGTTGCTGTAGAAAACTTGGGAAATAAAGAATTAAAACAACAAAAAACAGCCTCATAATATAAGCACATAACGAAGGCCACATTTTTCATATGTTTTTTTAGTCTTTTTTTTCTAGGCATCTGCAAAGCTCTTCTACTTTCCTAAAGAAATCAAAAAACTTTTTATGAGTCCAAATGATTTTATAAATTAACTATGGTGGAATTAACTTTATGTACCAGTTTTGGCACTTAAATACTTCTATAAACTATTTGTATACTTGTTTTTATTTCCTCCCATTCTAGATTAGATTAATAACTATATGTTATTTACCTTTGTGTTTTAAACATCTAGCAAAGTGTTCTACATGTATCAGGTACTCAGAATATATATGACATGAATTGTTGAGTTCCCAAGTGGAAACTGTCTTATTTAAACAGGTCTGTCCAATTTCTCATTGGCAGATTAGACCTTCAGTGTTGAGAAAAGCTTGATATTAGAGTGTATGTGTGCACGTACGTGTATAGGTTTCATATGAATGGAGCTACTGAACTAGGAAAGGGCGCTTTTTCTGGTTAGCTTTTTGTGTAGCAAGCCACTCCAAAACTTAGCGGTGTAAAATACCCATTTTATTATGCTGTGAATTTTGTCTGAATTCAGACAAGGTAGTGAGGAGATGGCTTACCTGACCTTTAGGTGGAAAGACTTATAATTGAAAGCTGGTGGTGACCTGCTGGCTCCTGGAGGTGTCAGCATTCATGTCTGGAGGCTAATGTGGCTGTCCCACAGAACACCTGCCTACAGTTTCTCCACATAGACCAGTGGAGCTTCTTGAGAGCAAGGTGGTGACTGTTTCCTAAGAATGAGCGTCCTAAAAGAACCACGCGGAAACTGTACTGCCTTTTGGGACCTACTCGTGAAAGTTACATAGTGACATAAACTTGCCAGAGTCAAAAATAGCAGTTACACTGAACCCACTTCTCACGGGAGAAGTGTCAAAGTCACATTGTGAGAAAGGGTGGGGACAGGAGATAGGTGCCATCTTTGGGAAAGACAGTTTGTCACAAGCACTTAATTGAACTGAAAAATAGTAAGTTACAAATGAGTTAATACAATTATCACATTTTGAATTTCAGTTCATAAATTTCCTGTTGAATCTTAGTAAGGATTTCCCCCACTGTTGATAGCATTTTTATTCATTTATTTTAAATATTTATACTAAACTTGTAAAAACTTTTAAACTCAGAGCTATTTTAAGTTACTTTTTTGGCTTTTGAAATCTGAACAGGATCTTACTTCTTTTTTTAACCCAGTTTGCAAGTTGGTCAGTATCTGTATTTGGGCTTTTTCACATCCCTTTTTAAATTTCAAGTATTGTTTTGTAAATAATATGGTACATGTTCACTGTTGAATATGTGGAATATCAGGAAAGAAACAAATAAAATCCATGCATAATTCCACCTCTTAGATGTAGCCAGTTTCAGGTCCATGATTTCTTATCCATGTTTCCTAAATTCAAACTGTTACGAGAATGGGAAGTCTTTAAGAAGTTTGTGGCAAACTGTGTTGGCAGCAAAATTCAGTCTGCACTGATGTCAGGCTACTTGTAGTCTTTATTTTACATAGTATAGTGATTTATACTTTTCCCATAGAAGTATTAATGTGTTTAATTAGAGTTTTGCCTGAAGCCCTAGTTGGAATATTTTGTAACATATGGAATATGTACCATATTAACCTTTGTAAAATATAAAAAAAGTTCGTGAATTGTGAAGCCTCTCTGGCCCCAGGTGTTTTGGGTAAGGGATGTTGGACTGGAATTAAAAAAACTAGTGCCAGGAAAAGATGAATTTATAGCCTGTTTAGTGGTCCTAAGTTTTTTTTATCCTATGAATCTATTCAGAACTTTTGTGCTTTCATTTCACATTTTCATTTTAGGAGACTACCCAGAAGGAAAATTAGTAGTCTTGATTTGTTTATGTGGTGTGTAATTCTCTACAACTATCCCAAATAACAGTTGCAGTCTCAGTGTGACCATCTTTCAATACATTCAGAATTTCCAGTGACCTTTTAGGCCTCTTGACTCTTCTAGTGTAAGAACCAATGATTTATTAAGTACTGGAGTCAACAAGCCCCAGGAGCCATGTAGCTCTTGGTTTCTGCGACCATTGTTGTTAATGTGACGTTGCTTTTCTTTCACTTACTGCTGTAGTGTTTCTTTTTTGTACTGTGCTTCTTCTTTATTTCCTTGGGTAGCCTGAAACTTTTCTTTGCTTCTGACACTTGAGTTCAATGTCAAGGAATTTATCCTTGACTTCATAATGTCATATAGTTTTAATTTTTAAGTATTTCTTATTATAAATTCAATATGTGCTCATTATAGAGGATTTGGAAAATATATCCATATTTTCACCATCTGGAAGTAACTATTAACATTTAAGATTATTTCCTTCCTATGTATGCCTATTAATGTAATACAGATGCACTTAAATTGGGATCTCTTGCTATTGTATATAAATTTTGTATCCTGATTTTTTTAAAGAAAGGTAACATGTTTATGAGTAGTGTCTGGCAGTTTCTGGAACCAGCATGAATTATATTCTGGGCAGTGATCTTTAAATTTGTATTCACTTGGAGTGGGAACCTAGGAAATGGGTTCAAATTCTGGCTTTCCCATTGCCAATCTGAATACCAGGGCAAGTATTTCCCTGAATACCAGGGAAAGTCGTATGATAAA